TTTTAAGACTATCACCTGTACAAACTGCTACTTCCCATTTTCTCGCCTTACATTTTTTCATATATATTAGTGTAATATCACAACAGTTTGCCTTCTTGGTCTGTATAAAGCCTTAATCTATAATCTCCACGCAGCAGTAACAAAGTAGCATCTTACAGGTTCGTGGTTGCAATAATTGTAAATTGTTTACAGAGAGACTGCCAGTCTTGATCACCATATTAAGCTCTGAGGGCAACAGGTAAGCAGAAAATCAGTTCCAGTTTCAGTAATAGTTTTAAGGCACTTGCAACATAAATAAGTGCTGATGATAAGAGGTGTTAAATGTACGAGCGTGCGTCCACCAACCACCAACTGAAAATCAGAGATACAGTCAAACCTGAACTAACGACCACCTACCCAAGACAATCATCTGTACAAATGACCATTTCCCAATTTCCCCCTAGCGTATTTTTAACAGTTTGTAATGACATTGCCAATCATCATTACCTTTCTTACCCTGGATCAAGTTACAGGCCACGAACATACACTTTTTATCTTTCCCTATCCTAGGCAAGTTGCTTGATGTCACTCCATGTCTTCTAACTTTTTCTGTACATCCATTTCCGAAGATTGCCCATGATGTCCACCATTCTTTGACAGTAGCCAGTTTCAAATAGACTTGCCCTACATGAGGAGACTTTATTATCTGACAACTGACTACACAAAATTAAGAACAAAAACAACTTTAAATGTAAACAGCTACCCCCCCTCCCCCCTAGGCGATCAGAACTTGCAGAAAAGACCAAGTGTTTTGAGGATTTCAACAGTGTTCTTGTATGTGTGTTTGTACGACTGCTAGGCCTTTAAAAAAAATATTTTTTAAAAAAATATTGTCATAATGCCATAAAATAAATTCTGAACTGTTTGGGTACTTCTGTATTAATGTGCAAAAAAAATCCCTGTTTTTTTAATTTTTTAGCAGTACATGTAAAATATAACTATAACATTATCACAGGAACAAATCCAAGCCACAGAGTTTAATCTGACCTGATACAAATCTAAGTCAACCTTAAAATGTACAATGTTTTGCTGTCATACTCATTTCTCAGGAGATGACGTCTTTTGTACTAGGCACTAAGACTTGTAGTTGTTCTACCCATGGGAGAAGCCTCTATGTCAAAGAGATACAGCAAATGAGTAGTGATAACTAATTCTAATAAATCAAGTACTATTTCTGAAGCTCTCATGATCATAAACACAATGAAATTTTGAAATCACATACAAGAAGCAAACAGCATATCATGATTTCCTTAATTTCAACACTGAAGACTAGACAATTATTTACACAAGTCTGAAGATCTTAGAGTTAGAGTGTCAAAGTCATCTGTTTCAACTCTGATTTTACAAATGCTTTTTACCCCCTTTGCCATGACTTAGATTATTTGGGGGCAGGCTGCTTTAACCCTGTAAGGCCAACCTATGCTGAGTAGGTAAGGTATCCCAGCAGAAAGATGAAGAAATATTTGATAAAATAGATTTCCCTGCATAGCAATTGAACACACACCTTAGGAGCACTACAGTGAGATGTCTAACCTTTCCACTGCAGATGCCAGTTTGTCTCACCTTTCTCTAATCTAATAAAGTAAGAAAATGATACAGCAATCTTGAGTATCTTCTCCTTTCAGATCATGAAGAACAAGGTATAACATTTAAAAAATCATCTATTTAAAACAAAACAGAAGAACAAAACCAAAAAAAAGAGCAAAAAAACAACCCCCCCCCCCCAAAGGAAAAAAACAACCCCCAAAAACGATTGCAATTAATAACAAAAGAGTAATTTCATATTCTTCAAAACAAATTTCATACCAAAGCATAACAAAATGCATGTCAATTTTCATCAATTAAATCATAAAATTAAATACACAGAACAAAGATACAAGTGACAAACTTATATTTGAAAAACAGGCAGAAGTGATAGATTTTTTATAGAAAAGAAGGAGCAAACCACACCAGCGCACCCCCTAACCATCCACTAAATTTTGGGACCAAAGTACCAGATAGTTGAAAGGCAAGACCTTCAAACCAACTCCACTCTCCAATATAAGACAGGACAAAACACTTGAAAACCTCTCAGAAAAAAATTAGGGTTCTGAAATGCCCTTCAGGGAACTTGAGTACAGGTTCCCGGGAGAGCTGTCAAGTGTCCTGCCACTTCACCTAAAGCAGACATGAGCAAGCGTGTCCAAGTTGTGGGCTGGAGATTAAGCAATACCTGACCTAAGGGCACACTCAAGCAGACTCGATTCTTCACAACAAACGGTTGGCAGAGAGAGGAAAATTGGGGTCTGTTTGCTCAAATAAAGAGAAGGACATTGACACACTAATGGTCATTTTAGTTGTTTAGATTTAGTAGAGGTTTTACGGAGCTCGCAACTGCATAAGGTCATATGAACACCAAGAGGTGGATGTCAACAGAGAAGTCCTTACAGGGAATCGGGTTTACTCTGCTTACCTCTCTAGCTTCAAAAGCACAAAGTCTGCTTCGACTATCAAGGCATCCTGGAAATAGCGGGTCACAAGAGTGTGACAAATATACAAAAGTAGAGGAAAAATGATGATAGTAAGGATTAGGAAAGAAAAAGCAGCAGTCCCCTGTTGCAGCTCAGGCACAGTTATGAGCATGACATTGATGAATCAGCCCATATACAATTACAATTCTACTGTGCATAAGATCATGGTCAATGTCCCCCCCTTTGGGAATGGCCTAAAGACACTTCAGTCAGAAGCATCGCCCCAGGGGGAGTAATGGTCATTTAGCACAGGGAAACAGTAAGACAGCTGGAAAGAAACAACAGAGGAAAAGAAAAAAAGCATGACCAGCTACTGGCACCTTCCAACCACATTTTGCATTTGCAATTTTTTACCTTGCATTTAACATCCATCCTTTAAAACAGGAGCAAGATTTCCTTGTGCACTAACTTGAACACATTTAATCTAAATCAGCATTTGGTTCTTGATAAATGAAGTAACAGTACATCATTAAGATACAGCACACTGTGCTACATACAGCACCTCATGAGCTGGCGCAGAAAGAAAAAGGCAGAGACATCGCTCCAGTTACATTCATCAATAAGGGGCAAAACGTCAACTTGCCAACAGTATGCTAATGGCTTCATTTCACAGGGAATTAATTGGAACAGTAATAAAACAGGAAAAGACAAGACACAGAACAGGCATGGGCGAGTTTGTCCATGTAACGGTTCGGATAAAACAATTCTGAATATCTTGTGGGCCAAAGCAGAAGAAAATTGGGTGAAATCTGTCAAAATACCTCAGCTCTCAAAAGTGAGACTAAAACTGATGCTATAGCATTCACTCAAAGGAACTTCCTGACATAAAATATTAGAGCTGTTACTTTCAGCGGGCCAAAATATTGATTTTGATTTTCAAGACGGACAGTTCTGATTTTATCAATTATTACCTCACTACGGGCCACATTCATTATTAGTTACAGGGTCGATTTGCCGGCCAGACTGTTAGCTCGCAGGTCAGATGTGGCTCGCAGGCTGTATTTTGCTCTTGCCTGATATAACAGAAGCTGACCACACCGAAGTATCCACCATCACCCACTGAAGTGAGATACAGAAATTGGAATGATGAGAGTACAGATACGTAAAAGACCATAACAGAGAGAAAAAGAGAGACGGTGTGAACAAAACAGATCATCAATTTTAAGGAATACATGATAAAATAAAAATAAAATAAACAGTGCTAAATAAAAAAATTCCAATGTTAACAGCTCGATATAGCAGAATTTTCTGAGAAAATAGCACCAACATATATCAATTTCCTTTAGAAAGGTTAACTTTTCACTAGCTCTTGACTCTCTCTTAGTCAGTGGTGGTGGGTGGACCAAAATTTGGGTGGGGCTTGGGTTGCTTCCAGTTCTTTATCACCAAATAGCAAGCAATAAAAACTAAACAATGATGATTTTTCTTTACTCACAGTGAGCCACAGCATTTTGAGAACCATTCAAACGAGAAAAGTTACCTTTGTCTTCCATCTCTGTGTTCTTAGTTAAGTTCTTGTTGATTTTGGGGACGAAGCAGATTCACCTCCAAATTTCCTCTAATTAATTTTCATGTGATGAAAAAGTTGCCTTAAGTTAAAAGTAGTTCAATCTGATTTATAACTCTGTAAACTGTTAAATCTCAACAGAAAAAACATAAACATGCACACACAGCACTTTAAAACCTTACTTCTATGAGCTGGATTAGGCTGTGAGGTTGAGAAAGTTGAATGTACCCAACAAAGAACCAATGAGCGCATAGGTACCTGTGTCAGTAGGGGAAAGTGTGTCGTAAACTTTCACCCCATGGTCAGGGCTAAGAGAGCGTGAGCCCTCAGTACAGTGTTCTTTTTTCAAGCCTTTTACCTTTTTTACAAGGAGAGTTTCATTAAGGACAGGCTATGGGAAAGGGCTCATCCTTTGCTGAGCCCTAAAGACATTTGATTGGCTGCTGGGTTACTATAGCTGAAAGCGGTGACAAAAGTGATTGGATAAACGAGCAAGCCGCCAAGTTGATCACTCTGTGTTCCCTGCCTGCAGTCATAACGATTTCAACTGCTTCTTTCATTATGGAGAAACTTTAATTTACTTTGGGATAGAGTTGGGGGTGGTGGGTGGGGAGGGGGGGGGACTCAAGCCCGTGAGCCCTTCACTACCCACTGCCACTGCTCTTAGTTCAAGTAACAATGAAAAAAACAACTATATGAAGATGAGACAATCCCCCACTCCACTCTTTTTTTCCCGAAATAATTAAAATAAGTCATTCAAAAAGGAATATACAAATTAAAAGCAAATATATTAATGATGCAATAGGAAATTCTCTCAAAAAAGTTGACAAATCAAAATAATGTAAAACAACCTGTAACTGTAACACTCAAAAAGGTTTGTTACAAAAAAAAAAGACAATCTAAACGGCAGCTGAACAGTCAGCAACAGTGAGGCAAAAACTGTGCAGTATTGCAGGGTGAAAGCACAATGTTTATTTCCTCAAAGTGAACCATGCACAGAAAGTACATTTAATTATTTTCCAAATATTAAACTTTCTAGCAAGCACAACACATTATGTATATATTTTCCAAATATATAACTTTCTTGCAAGCACGAAACATGTATGAACTGAACATTTTCGTTTATTCATTTTAAGTCATGGTTAGGGTACTTTCATAGCAAAATTATTAGAGAGACAGGTGGAATCATTTCCAGTCACTCTGAGGGCTTGTAAAAATTACTTCAAAAGTAGATAAAATAAGTAAATTAACACTTTGCGGTCACTTGGCCCAATAATGCACCAGTGAAAATTATCCATTCCGGCCATGTAAGGCCCGAGAAGTCCGTAGCAGTCACTCTCCTGGATGGGTGACCAGATTGGGTATTTTTTACTACTGGCTGTGTGACTGCAAAGTGTTAAAGATGAAACAAGCAAGAATACTTTGACTAATGACGGAGTAAGTCTTAGTAAAGATGCACGCTCAATACAAAAGGATGGTCTAGATAACCTGATTATAAGACGTAACAAGACATGCAACTGATTTTCTTTTTAAGTAAGTGGGAGGGAAAGAACAGAAAAAGTAGGATAAGATAAGGACTAGCTTAAATAGTCAAAATACAATGTTTGGAGAAGAAATGAAGCAATATAATATATATAGCAGAAAAAGAGAAGGAAGAAAATACTCTAGGATAGGAAAACACGTCCTTTTTCATGGAAAAAATCTACGCCTCAGCCAGCAGAAAAACTGAGAACCTTTACGTAATTTATAGGATGATCATCTGCACTATGACAATCCTTTTGCCTGTTCAAACTTGGTAAAACGCACCTTTTTTTACAAGCTATTGGCACACATAACTTAATATCAGCAGAAGGTGAATTTCACACCACAAAAGAACACTGGGTAGATAATACACAAACCATTCTGAACACAGCTCTTATTCCTTTTTCCATTGAAAGTAAACCTCTGCACACACAAATATAATAAATAATTTCACTAAGCTAAAGCAAAGAAATGTTGAAGGTATTTTCAGTGAGCCCCTCCCCCAAAAAAACCCCCAAACGAAACAAAACAAACAAACCGACTCAATTAAAGTCTACTACTGACTGACAAGTATTTGAACAACATCAGCAATCATTCCATTACATTTTGACAATCTCACAATAACAACATTGTCTCAAAACTTTCAAAGGTAGGATAATCCACGCTCTGTTGAACCTGAAAAGCGTAATGGCCGAAGGAGCTGGCTATACGAACGTTGTTAATATCATCATCCATTAAAATAATCTCTTCCTTCCTTATCGCCACACTGTGATCATTGTAGATGTCGTTGACCACAGCAGCAATGTGAGCTTCCTTGCCATTGAGGTTTACTATCAAACTTCGATTGATGCCACCTACAGTGCTGGAACCATCGCTAGAACTTCCAGAACTCGAAGCTCTCTGTCGCTGAACAAAATCTGAAGTGTTTGCTTGGACATAGATCTTGTTGGCGACTCTGTGAAAGTAGAGAGGATAAGTGACGGAATATAAATATGTGTACAAACTTTTTAACACATTTTCTGATTGATGACGAGTCATGACCTACCTTCCTCTTGTATCACCCCCTATCCTTTCAAATATGAAAATTCCTTTCACCAAAATGAGAAAAACTACAACGGTAGTCTCCATATTCAGAAAAAAAATATTGTTCATAAAAATATTTCACTTTTCGACATGCATTTCCAGGAAACCCACCTCAACACAAAAAAGGTTAATATGCAGTTAATGAAGCCTCTCTGAAATTCAAAGAACATTTAACTTACTGCATTTCATTTTTAATTGAACTATGAATTCAACTGAAAAAGAGTCATACAAACAAACAAATGTTTATTACAAATGGTTTTAAAAATAACAAAAAAGTTTCAAATTCAGAATCAAGCCTACAGAAAAAGAAAACTGAATGAATGATACTAAATAATGTGAGAATCTTTTATCTACTCTGTGGTGACCTGCCCTTTCCTCCGATAAGATAAGACATTTTTGAGTAACCTCGGAGATGACTAATGAGAGATATTTCACTCGTCAGCTGGCCCCTCTTCGCATCATGTTATTTACGCGAGATCGGTGACGCAGCGCCTCAAAACTATGTCACGCCGTACATTTCATCGTCTGTTCCTCTCAAAGTCACTTCCCCTTGTTATTTCCCATAGGGACAGAAGGAGTGAGGAGTCATCTCAGTCAATATTTCGGAAGTAGTAGTGTATGGTGAAGTTGGTCAATAAATGTGCGCATAATTAATCAATTCATCAAATTTATGCTCCAGTGAAGAAAGAGGAAGAAGAGTTTTTTTTAAATAGTTTTAGTAAGAGTTTTACGTCACTTGCTCATGCTGCGTTGCAACAATGAGGTCATATAAGTGTCGAAGAATAGATGCGTTACAAC